CACAGGAAAGAAAAGGAAAAAACCAATCCGTAACGTGGGTGGAGGGATGATATGGTAAATATCATGAGACCAAGCATTTGGCTTCATTGTTTACGTGCAAAAACTAGATAGGTTTACAAAATCGACCTATTAATATTTGGCTTCACACGATTTCAAGCGCCACCACCAATAGAGTGAGTTTAGAGTTTAGAGTCGATTTAACAACTTGTCTATACTCAGTTTTTGATGCTGAATCGGAAAAAAATATTTTCAGAAGTCGAAAAAAAAGAAAAAAGTAGAAAATTTTGCATATTTTTAGAAAGATGCGTTTTTTATCGAAAAACGACACTTTTCGACCGGAAGACAGCATTTGCTAAGACTAAAAAGTAGATTTCCGTGATCAGCAGCGCAAGCTTTATCCGATAACATGAAAAAAGCGGCAAAAAAAATTTTTCACTCAAACTCTAAATTGCCTGCATCTTACAACATTTCTATTATTCTTATTAATTTAAAAGAAAATAAATACATACAGTGCGTTTACATCATTCTACATAGAAGATTTTGAATATATAACCATAGTTATGAAATTCAAATAATATCTGTTCATGGAATTTCGTCTACACACTCTTGTTAACGTTCGGTTAAAATAATCAAATGCTTATGAAATGAGAGCTCATGTAGTTGAAGCAGATTGGATTTTTTAGTTGTTTGATGGAACCGAAAGATGATATTGACTTTGAGTATGATATGAATCATATTTAAAAGAGCAGGCAAAAAACATGATTTTTGAGCATAGAATTAAAAAAAGTACGTGACAATGATAGAAAAACTTATTGGTTATATCTTTTAATAAATGAACTTATACCATTACACAAGAAACAGATAGACAACAAAAATATTTTGTCTTATTATTTGATTTTTGTTTTCATGTGATGAAAAATCGCACAAATATGGACGATTTTTATATTTGAATTTTGATTAATCGACAAAAGACATAAGCGATTATGACGACATATGATAGTATAGGATTTTCTAAAAATATGAGAATTTTTTATTGACTACCTTTATTAAATATCTATTGAGTTTCATCATCAATTTGGCAACTTTTCTTGTTCATGTGCTATTCCAAGAACACTTCTGTTTTTTTTTGAAAGAGTCAATAGATCTTATATAATAAGGAAACTACAAGAATTCTTATAATCTAATACTTGTATTGAATATGTCAATAATCAATGCAGAAACAAAAGTCTTTCATGGACCGATTACATTGACTGAACAAACTTTGTCTATTTAACATATAAAATATGTTGAATAGATTCTACAACATCAATCTTTTTGATCAATTTGTTCTATTTACAATTTTATTTCATCTTTATTTATTTTTTTGAGTGACATATAAGAAAATCAATTGACTTTAATTTCAAGTTATAGAATATGTATTCTCATATACACATAATGATTTATATAATAAAAGAAAAGAAAATGAAATAAAATGACGTCTACAAGATCAATATGCGTGCAGATGAATAAGATGCTATTGAACTTAGAATTCATTTGCCAATACCAAAGAATTCACAAAGGTTTGGATTACGTTTACATCTAAAATTTGAATTATTCGTCAAATGGTGAAGAATAAAAATATTCAAATGTACCCTTTGACAAATTCTTCTTTGGTCAATTTTTTGTCTTCACTAATACCAAGTGTATTAAATATACTAGCGGCCAATTTTTTTGGATCAAGATTATCTTTTTGATTAGTTTTACCTACGATGGTTAACTAAAAAATTAAAACAGAATTAATACATATTGTAGTAACAAAAGAGAAGTTTGAAGAAAAAGAAAAATCCTACTGAAGCCGAAAGAAAAGCAGCTAATTCATTGACATCAACTCTTCCATCACCTGAAACATCACACCTAAATAGTTATAAGAAATTTTTTTTTTTGAAAAAAATGCGAGAAAATTATTACGAGAAATTCTTACATTTCGAAAACATAATCAAGATGCGTATTCAGATCGTGTGGTATACCCACAGCAACAGCTAATAAGAATTCATTAAAGTCAATTGTACCATCATGATTTTTATCAAAGACAGCGAATACATGACTTTTATAAGGAAAATAAAAAAAATTCAAAATGTCGTAAAAAAACAAAGGTTACATTGACATACTCGGACAAGACACTTGTTCTATCTTTGTTATCTTTTATTTTTTCGTAGTATTTCACAAATCCTTTCTTGTCCAATCTACCTGTTGGAAAATCATTCCAAAAAGCCTAGAAAAATATTCAAAGAATAGAAAACATGAAAAGATCCAGGATCAAATAATAATAATATGTAACACTTACACGATGCAAATCTCTAATTTCTGAAAAAAATAAAAATGAATAATATAATTCGTTTATGATATTTTCTTACCCTCTTCGCTAAGTCTCGATCTTTTTTTTAGTATAGCAATATCTAAACAGAATTCTTTTTTTTTTTATTAAATCAATATATAAACAAGACTAGAGAGAACCTCGTAAAGTTAATTCTTTAGATGTTCCACCTTCGAGAGCGATGTTGTTTCCCATGAGAATTATTTGTCTTGATTAATATTAAGCGAAATAAGAAGAAACCTGAAAAGTAAATAATAAAACACGACAAGAGAAATATGAAAGAATAAAATATAAATGTGATTGATTGAAAATAAATCTTTCTATTATATACGTCAAAAAAACACAAGTGTTTGATGAGTTGTTTCAATATTTTCCTCTTGTGTTCGTTCGCACATCATTAATAAAATCAAATAGCTCGATTATAAGTTAAAAATGAAAAAAACAAAGTGATAGCATATAAAAATGTGTTGATTAGAATAGAGAATAAAGAGTTCATCGTTTTTCATCTAGGCGTTATTTAAGTAACA